GACGTTACAATGGTTTTTCACATCTTATTAATTCAGGATTCAGTCAAAAGTTAGATATTGAATTTTGATGTATGGATGATAGAAAAAAGATTATTATCGTTTAGTAATCTGCTTGAATCAAGATAGTATTCATCACGGACTGACAAAAGTCAGGGAATCATTAGAAATCTTAGAACACTGGAAAGATCTTTTGTCTTAGTATGGAACCCCTCAGTAGTGCGCCCCCATACCCCTACCAGGGATCAAACCCAGAACCTTCAGGTTTCCCGGCGAACACGTTGACCATTCAGCCACTGGGTCAGAGTTCATTGGTTTACAGTCTCCAACTTCTGTCAGGTCATGATATAGCGTGACTATCCACCAAGGTTTTCAACTGGTATCCCTGTAAGTCATGGTTTCTCATTAGAACTTCTGGATATCCATGTGGAAGTATATCACCAATGAGTAGTTTTTCAAAGGTTCTTTAAATGATATTAGTCCATGATGAATACTACACTTGGAAAAATTAGTTTCCTTGATAAATTCTAACAAATTAATAACAAAACGGAGATTAACTATTACTTTATTTAAATAATTAAAATCCCCATAATCTAGATCTGTTTAAAATTTGATGTTCTTTTATTGTTCATGGATTACTTTTACATCTCATATTAGGTTGCTGTCAGGTTACTGAGTTGTTTAGTAATGACAAAGAAGACATTTCATTGTACAATTCCTTCTGTGGTGAATGACTATCCGTCTCCAGTCTAAGTCAGTTAATATTCTATTTTTTTCATTATTCCTATTAATTCACTCTGGAGGTTTGTGGAGATGTATTCATTGATTTCATGTTGGAATTCATCATGAACTGATATGAGTCAGAAGAATACCCTGGAAACATAGCCCCGCCAGGGATTGAGTCCAGGACCTTTAGGTTCCGTAGCCAGCACGTTATAATTGAGCCACTAGGTTAGAATCTGTTGGTCCATATTTCTTATTTCTGTCGAGTCATGACATAGCACAACCTCCAACCAGTGTCGTCGTTGAGTAACTGTCTTCATGTTCAACTTCATTTGTCCCACTGGACAAAACTCATTGGAACTTGAGGAATCACCTCCCAAAGTAAGTCTACATTGAGCACTAGATCAATTGAATTTGAGGGTTTGTGGAGATTTAGTGACTGTTAAAGTTGGTATTCATCATAGACTGACATCGTTTCGAGGAATACTAGAAAAGCAGGAACCCTGGACGGCTGTTTCATCCCTATTTGGGGCTCATCAGCAGTGTGCGCACACGACCCTGTCAGGGATCTAATCTGTTAGTGGTATCAATCGTTCACTGTCGACCAATATAAAAGACCTTAATTCTTCTGTTATAATTATATCAAGTCTTGACCGTTTGACTAAATAAGTAGTTGCACATTTTCTTTAGGCATTTGCCTTAAGAAAACTTATCTTTCTGCATGAATTTTAGTCGTGTGGGTATATTGTTTGACTGACCCATTTGTGATTATTATGAACTGAAGTATTTTTTAATTTGTTCGAAGACAGTTTCTTTCATTTTTGAATCAAAAATCCTGTATACATCAGTTACCATAAATTGAAATGGAACCATAAATACTATTTGTTATTGGCCATGTAATAGTTTAGCTTTTGGTGGTACACTAAGAAAACGAAATAATTACTGAGTACCACAGTATTCAAAATTACGACTGGAACAAGCTGTCTGGCCTCAGGAAGAACGAATCATGTGCGGATCAAGTTTAAACACTACTCATCATTATAGAATAGAGCATAGAATGGCAGTCAACTCTTCACCTCAACTTCATCGATTTTGAAAAGGACTTTGATAGCGTTGATCGAGAAGTAATTTGGCAGCTACTTCGACACTACGGTTTTAGTGCCACAGACCTTTACCAACTTCATTCAACAGCTATATGCTATATGAGGTTGCTACATGCCAAGTGATTCACGATGGAAAGCTCAGTGATGCCTCTGAAGTGAAGACAGGAAGGAATAAGACGAGGCTGCCTACTGTCAACGATGATCTTCCCGATTGTGGTCGGCTGGATCATGCAACTGTGAGGTGTGCAAACGCTGGTTGGGCCGATTTAAAGACTCTAAAAGGTTTGGATTTCGCCGATGATGATTTATGTTTAATGTCGCACAAACTCGAATATCTGAAGGCGAAAAACTGACAAGAAGAGGCGATGCAGCGGAGGAAGACGGGACTTAAGGTGAATGTAGGGAAACGGAAGTGATAAAGATATTCAACCAACAACAACAAGCACTAGTCGCCATCAACGGGAGGAACCTAAAGGAAGTAGTCTCTTTCACCTACCTGCCTAGGCAGCATCCTTTCAATCACAGGCGGTGACGGCACAGATGCGGATGTCAAGGCCAGACTCGGAAAGACATCAAGACATGCCTTCATCAATCTAAAACCAGTGTGGAGATCTACTGCACAAGCATATAGAACAAGATCCAGATTTTCAACACATTTCAGTCAAGTGAGTGCTTCTATATAGTTGGGAGACTTGGTGCGTTACGAAAAACTTCTCCAACAAACTCCAGACGTACATCATCAACAGCTGCCGCCTACGCTCGATATTGGGGGTCAGATGAGATGACCAGAATAATAATAATAATAATAATGATAATAATAATAATAATAATAATAATAATAATAATAATAATAATAATAGAATAAACAACAAGGAACTTTGGCTGGCTAGCATCGAACCAACCAACAACCTGTCGCCCAACAACTATGCAGAAGAAAGTGGAGATAGACTGGATTGAACATACGCTGAGAAGACCGTCTGAAGACATCTCGCGCCAGGCCCTCAAGTGGAACCTAAATAGGAAACAACGAGTTGGGTGTCCGAGGGTGATAAGAAGGAGATGGTGTGAGGAAGAAGTGGAAGCTTCTGGGCAGTCATGGAGCCAGGTTTTGAAGACTGCGGAGAAGAGAATGAAGTGGTGACGTGCTGCTGAAGCCCTATGTTTCTCTGGAAACTCAGGGGACAAATAGATAAAAAATAACCTCAATATTTGGCATTGTTTGCTAGTAAGTAGTTGGCAGAAAGATCTTGACTCAAGTTTCTTTCTTATTTTTCATTGATTATCAGGATGTATCTGCAATCATGAGGAAAAATTATGTTCCCTCAGTTATCTAAACTTGCGTTACTATGCATTGAAGTCACAGACCTTACTACCTAGTTGATCAGGTCATCACAGTCCTCCATAAGACTGAGGTATATACATAACTTGATCAAAAAATGGTGACCTAGGTAGCGGTAAAATCTTATATGCTAAGCTCCATCAAAGCCTAATGATCAATTTTGTTTTCTTCCATGTTAATTCACTGCCTTGTTTAAATTGTGCTTAATATCAGTGAAGTTTTTAAAACGGAAAAGGATGGACGGTTTGTGCTTGTTGGCAAGGCGTATCTGCTACCTATAAAGGACTGATGTCCCACCTGAGATCGAAACCTGCGTCAAGCAGTGCTGCAGTCAGAGACGTTACCACTGAGCTATTCGGACTGCGCTTGGTCTCCTCTAGGACTGAATTAGGTAGATCTATCGATGTGCATGACGATGCTTAGTCGCCTAGTCAGGTGACCACATTTCACAATGTTTGATAGAATTCAGTTACTCTCCAGTGACCAGTCAGCGTGCAGATATTTGTAAGCCAATTATGCCATCATCTCAATCAGTTTCGGTAATCAAAACTCATATCAGTAGTATTGTTTACTAATAATCACTTAGTAAAGCATCATAATTAATTATTATTATTGCATAACTCTTCTCCTGGGAACGCTTTTATTTTCCCACTTCACTTTCATCTGAAAAGTCTCATTCTCTTATTTCGGCATAATTTTCTCTTTAATGTAGCAAGAAATTCTTTTCAATAGTTTTTTTTCCATTGCACATCATCCATCTATCTATCTGTCTGTCTATCGAAAGAGCTACTTTGTGATGATTATTGTGATAAATAGATATCTAAGGAATCTGTACAATTCGGGTGGTACAATTCCAACATGCAAAAGATCAATGACACAGCCGCCTTAATGTATTTCTATGGTATATGATAATAGTAGTGTTGCTGCTAATACTGATAAGGGTTATGCTAGAACCTAGACACTCGTAATTCTCCTGTCAAGAGTTTTAATAAATTACATGACATTTTTACTAGCCACTCCCTCTGCCAACTTTAATTCAGCAAGATTAATCATTCATATATTACTTTATCATTATAATTACTATTATTTATCAATGGTTGTGATAACAGTAATTAATTATGTTATTCATCATAAGTATTTGTAACCGTAATAGTGTTATCAGTAATTTGCATATATATATATATATATATATATATATATATATATATATATATATATAATGAGACATACAAGATAGACAGGAAGGTATGTGTGCATGTATATCAGGTAGAGAAGAAGTGATACAATTCGTAATTTACGCAAACGCCGTTGCCTAGTTATAATACCATGTCAGTTTCCCATTCATATCATTTAAACAAGCAGAAAGAAAACAAAAAAAACATGATAATAATTACAATAGATGTTTATCAAAAAAGACTGAAGTGTACTCCTTCATTCTCCTTACGGGTTTTCTTTCTCTTTGACCTAATCATTTTATCTGATAGTGTATTATTGTGGATAGTAGAAAAACTATGGATGACTTAAAACATTTACATTGAAGCCATTGAACATCATAAAATACGTTATCCTTTCCGCTTTCATTGTTTAGTAATCACATTAAAATGTGGTTTCATGAGATATTGTTATTGTTTTATTTCTCTGTTGTTGTTGAATGGAATCAAAATTGCCTCATGTGTTTTGTTTATATAATGGTTAGCATTATTGAAGCGGGTTAATTGTATTTGAATTTCAAATATTTACCATCAGTTGTTGACCTAATACACAAATAAATGAAGAATATTAACACAAACACCATATTTCTACATATATTCGTGTCTTTGATTTCCTTTTTTTTCTGTTTATCTTGAATTTCGATTTAACTCAGAATCATTTATCGATTTTGTAGTTGTTGTAGTTACAGTGGTCGTGGTTATTGCTTGTGATGTTGTTGTTGTATGTGGGATAGCGATAATATCAGTTATGTTAGAGAATTCAACTGGTGCTTCTAAATCATGTATAGGTTCACCTTTTTCATTCCAAAATGGTGATCTAACACGTTCACCTTTACGTTGTCTAAATGCCATAACACGAAATGCATTATTTAAATAATCTCTTAATTTACCTAATGCCATTGGTTCAGTAAAAAAATAGCCTGAACCAAATTGTAATTGTGCTTGACGTAGTACAGCACTCATTACAATAGGATCAATTGGTGCTTTACCCCGGAACCATTATAATTATGCGTAACTAAATAATGTAAACTAAAGAGACTTTGTAATAGGCGTAAACACAAACGTGGTCCTAGTTCATGTGGTTCACCACGTACCATTGTCAAACATTTACAATATGCCCATAATGGCAATGATACTGATTGTACCCCACCAATAAATATTTCACGTGGTTCATCAGGGTTCAGTATAACCACTGGACGATCAATTAAATTATTAGTTTGGCTGTTGTTATTGTTACTACTACTAGTAGTATTACTGTTATTGTTATGATTATGACTGGAACGTGAATTTGATGCTGTTGACAATAACATCCCATTAGATCCAGGAAGTTGTAGATCATTTAATAAATTTGATCTGATACTTTGATCTATTATCGATGTTGTTATTGATGGTGGTGATATTGTCATCTGGGATCTAGATGATATATCGGACCAATTGGAATTCTGAAAATTTAACACTGATTTACGAATACTCTTCAATGTCGATGTTGAAACTGCTGAACTGAAATGATTTGATTTATTATTGCATAGATGCAAACGATTATTGGAGAATGTACAACCTTGCTGACATCTATTCGAATTTAGACATTTTGTTTTGACACGTCCAAATTTATTACCTCGAAAACGTAGTGATGATGATGATGAGGAAGAAGTTGCTGATGTTGACGGTTTTCGACTACAATTTAACAGATCAGTTGGATTGAATTCATGATTTGAAAAGAATACTGGTGGATACAGTCGACATGACTTATTCTGAATAATTAAACAAAGGAGAAAGAAATCATTATTAAACGAAGTTTAACAAATCAATTGAGAACATAATATGTTGAATAGTTAGCAAACAGTGTTGTAATTTTCTTGATGGTCGCTAGCAGTGGAATCCAGGGTACACATCTTGACATATTTGGGACTCTTCAGCTAGATGTACTTGCGCCTTAGTAAGTGATATTCACACTGAAACTCGAACCTACACCCATCGTTCCTAACGCCAAAACATTATCCACTCTTGTGTGTTGATATATAGGCTCCTCTAAGTATGCCCCAGTGAAACGAAGGGGGCTTCGTCCGAGTCCCAGTAGGAACGTCGTTCACTAGGGTGCAGGCAAATTCAGCTGACGAGTCTCGAATTGGACGAAACACACCTCCTAGATCCCACTGCTAACCACTAGAAAGTCACTTGTGACAATAAATATTCAGGCAGTATCGATGCATCTGCATAGTAGCCCGTATGCCAACAGAAGTTAGTCAGTTCTATCCAGGATAACGAGAAATTACAGTTATCAAAAAAAAATAAGTGAACAAAGTGACTAAACAATAAATTTTTTTCAAGTTTTCTGTTTTTTGAAGCATAAATGTTTAGCATAGTGCTAATTGTCGTCTTAAAAATGATCAACCTATAGAAGTTTAAGCAGTCAGCTAGTATCATAAGCCTTCATATAATCTGTGCCTCATTGCGTAGTATGTAAAAAAGCATTCAATCATTGAATTCGTTTTTACATCATACCTAACTTTCAGTCTGGGAGTTATGAAGATTTTGAAAGGTTATCGTTTTGACCTGATTTTAAGATTTCCAATGTATCTAATCAAAATAAATTATTATTTACGTACAAATCTACAGATTTCAGGTAAAATATTGCTTTGTGCAAATATTATGATGTTGTTTGCAGTTGTATTTTAACCAGTTATCAATAAAGGATGAAAAACATGGAACAATAACGATTCCTGGTGACAAGAAGGACACATTGAAAATTTTAACTTCATTCTTAAAGGTTCCTTTACCTTGTCATTAAGTTAAATTTTCCTCAGAAGTATACTACTGAACCACGGAAACACTTGAAAATTACTAATGGTAATCTGCAGATTTTGCTGACTTTTCTCAGGATAATTTGAAAACCACTGTCAATCTAAAGATTATGAGTAATAAGGCGGTTAATTATTAATTTTGTCGCATACTTTTCCGTTGAATTCAGGATGTTGGATATAACGTGTCTCGGTGTACACTAGTCACAAGCTCCTTTTTCAAACAGGTGGGACGATCAAACAGTGTTTAAACCACTCTTAAATAGTAACGAAATCCTTCGGTCAGTATGGCTTTTTTGTAACTAATAATTCTTCTCAGTAATGTATTTATTTAATCCATGATCATGTTTCAGAAATAACAATTTCTCATCTGAGCTGGGTAGTTTCAGATGAAGATCTTGTCATCAGAAAAAGTCAGCAGTTAAAAAGCTACTTGACTGTGGGAAATGTTAGTGTAGACTATGCAGTTTGTATTACTTGTTTATTTCTAACTCATCATTCAGACAAACATATGCAAGCTAAATTATAAACCACACAGACGAGTTAAGAAGTAAACAATAGGTCTATTGATTGTTCAGAAGCACATGCTTTCAAAAAATAAAACTGTACATTGACAAAGCCTTCATCAACACTCCTCGTGGGAATTGGCACTGTGCATGATATATACTTATATGTCTGATATTATATGATGAAGATATTGTAGCAAACAACCTAAGGAAGTTGGAAATAATTTATGGAGAAAGAGGTGCCCTTTTGAGGGGTATCCTTCAAAGCTGTAAACGTTAGCGCATAAATACTGTTATCCAGTTAACTGATTTGTGGAAAATAAATTCATTTACAAATACTTGTTGATTATAGACTGCTAACAAATTAGGAATTAATGGAAATCAGGAAGCAGTGATCAGTTGCGTCAATCAAATATAATATTCTTTAGCGGTGAGCAGAGTAGATTCCCTACGGATTCAGTATCAAGGCTACCGTCATATTACTATTCATTCACTAGCTTGGAGTACAACTGTTAGTATCAATTCATAGTTTTCATTAATCAGTATTCGTCTGTTCTTAGGCATGAAGTGGTTGGAAGTATAAGTTTTAGTTGATGCATTGAATATTTCCATTGAAACTTTCACTTTCTCGCTGTTTGTTATAATCGAACGAATTGACACAGTCTCCTATAAGTATGCCTCAATGTTATTTGTCAGATATTGGTTCTTAGCGAGATTTATGACAGTAATATCGCCCTATTTGCAACTCATAAGTAATTGACACTCATTGCAAAATAGATGGTTCTCGTGACTAAGTACTTGAACTGGTGAGGCTCTGGCATTTAAAATGATAAATTCTGAGTTTGAGACTCGGAGGGAACATCATCTTTCACTGGAATTTAGGTACATCCAGCTGAAAATTCGCAAACATGAAGAAATGTACTTCCTGAATTCCACTGTTTGCCACAAACAAGTATCTAATCATCTTAATTTATTTCAGTTTCATTTCATGAAAATTAGCGGGAGAAAAAGGAGTATAATTCAAATATTTATGAAAAAAACCAATTATTCATTTCATTTTGGTACTCATTAGGAACTGAGATCAGTTGGAAAACCACTGGGAGCACTGCAGAGCCGTCTCGTTCTTGTGTGTGATTCCTCAGCAGTGTGCAACCATGACCCCACCAAGGACCGAACGCATGCAGCACCCTCAGGTCCCTCTGCCACCTCGTTACCATTAAGCTCCTGGGTCAGAATTCATTCTTCCACATTTATCTACTTGATCAGTTCACTTTATGGCGTGATCTCCACTCACTGGTGTCTCTGAGTAACTGTCTTCACGTCCAACTTGGTTTACCCCACTAGTCACAATGTAGGAGTTATACATCCTTTCCAGACCTATCAATGTTCATCAGGTTTTCTTCCTGAGACTTAATTATATTAAGCTAACACTTCGGATAATTACAGTAGTTGATTATTGAGTGGAAACCTGCGACATTCTTAAACACCAAATATATTCATTTTTCCATCACTTATTTTAGTTAACACAATCTACAATTAACTGATGGATTTCGATAAACAGATATGATTTCCCACCTAATCCTACACCAGTCAGTAGCTTTGCTATAGGGTTCCATGGATTCGAAATGGAGTGATGCAGATTTGGATCTACAAGAAGATAACATGAATTATTTAAAGTTGCAGATTCACTTTGTTGATGACTAACGATAGGCAAAATATATATGGGAATGATTTCCTATCAATCGGCTACAAACAAATAGGGCCTTAAGTGTTGTAACATATTCGCTGAGTCACTGATATTCAGCCAACTGAAAACTATCGTTGTAAATTAAAAATTCTCGAAACGTGTAAAATTATATATATTTTACTGTATATCCTATACAGTATATACTGTCAGTCATCTTTATCCAGAATAAATATTCTACTTAGTAAAGTAGCATGTAAAATACAGTGTTTGGTTATTGTATCATTTCGTAATTAACATTCATTGACCTAACATGTATTGGATAATATAGAAATCCACTGTACACAGAGAATACAGTTGTATGATTATAAAATGAGATAATGAGGCTTAGATGATGCCAGATGTCATAAAACGTTCAACAGACTATTGATTTAGCAAGTTGATTACCCCTCAATTTGATCACTACGTTTTGTGTAGTTCAATTGAGGTGATATAAACGGTAGATAGCTATTTCAGTGATTGTTAAAAGCATATTCCAATAGATTCAGCATATTCTAAAACACCTGAACTCATACGTTTCAATTCAACTGACCGTCTACCAAAAACAAAATAGATTTTTGAAATTTATTTATTAGCGTTTTATGGGACATCAGTAATCGTTCAATTAACAGGGTTTTTGTTAGAAGCCACCTCATTGAACTTAAACAGTTTCATATATTTGGTCTTAATGTATCATGATGGTACAATGCTGGAATCTCATATTAAAATCAAGCAAAACACATTTAATTTTTAAAGGTTTATGGGGATTTATTTATTCGTTTCAAGTTGATATTCCTTACTGACTGACGTCAGCTGGAAAAATATTGAAAACTTAGGAGCATTGAATAGTTGTTTCTTGATAGTATGAAAATCCTCATCAGTATAAAATAATGGTCTCTTCAGAGGTTGAATCTAGGACCTTCAAGTTCCGCAGCCAAAATATTGCCGTTCAGCCAGTGGGTTGGAAATGTCCACACTTTCTAACTTCTGTCAGTTCACGATATAGGGTGAACTTTATCCTATATCATCGCTGAGTACCTGTTCCATCCTTAGCAGGGCCATGGGTGCTCACTTCTGAGGAGTCCCATACTATGAAAAAATAGCTGTCTATTACTTTCAGGTTTTCAATTTTTATCTAACTGATATCAGTTGGGTATGAATACCAACTTGAAATCAATAAAATCCCTGAAATCTCAAAACTGAACTATAGCGATTTTATTCCGTATTAGATTTGTTTATTTGATTTATAACACACAGTGATCTAGTATTATTTACTTGACGACGTTTCGAGCATCAATTATTACTGTTCATCATCAGATCAATGTTATCAACCTACTTTCAACTTTTGACTTTTATAGTTAAGTGAACTCATATTATTTGTTTTTATTAGTAATGAAAGTGTTGCGGCGTTCCTATTACATGTGTTGGATGGGGTTAATTCGATGAAGAAAGACTCGGAATTCAGTCTGTCTCTCCATTTGACTGTACTGGACTTAAGTACATTAGTTTTATCCCACCCATTCTATTGTGTGTTAATGCATTCATTGCAGTAGCCGGGTGTTTTTCTAGATTTCTGATCCTATTGTGGTTTGTCACTCTTTGTTTCGCTAAATTCAGTTGTTCCGATATTCTTATGTTCGGCTATTCTAACTGACCCCGACCGGCTAGTTTGACCTATGTACTTAACCTCACAGTCATTATATGGAATTTGATAGATTAGGTTA